TGAAGGGTATTGTTTTCCTAATTTCTTTCTCAGCCCATTTGTCTTTGGTATACAGGAGGGCTTCTGATTTTTTTTGAGTTGATTTTGTATCCTGCCACTTTGCTGAAGGTGTTGCTGGAGGAGTTCTCTGGTTGAATTTCTGGGGTCGCTCATATATACTATCATATCATCTGCAAATAGTGACACTTTGACCTCTTCCTTTCTGATTTCTATCCCCTTGATCTCCTTTAGTTGTCTTATTGCTCTGGCTAAGACTTCAAGTACTATGTTGAAGAGGTATGGAGAGAGTGGGCAGCCTTGTCTTGTCCCTGATTTCAGTGGGATTGATTTAAGTTTCTCTCCATTGAGTTTGATGTTGGCTATAGGCTTGCTGTATATTGCCTTTACTATGTTTAGATATGTGCCTTGTATTCCTGATCTCTCCAAGACTTTAAACATGAATGGGTGTTGGACTTTGTCAAATGCTTTTTCAGCATCTAAGGAGATGATCATGTGGTTTTTCTCCTTCAGTTTGTTTATGTGGTGGATTACATTGATGGATTTCCGTATGTTGAACCACCCTTGCATGCCTGGGATGAAGCCTACTTGGTCGTGGTGGATGATATCTTTGATGTGTTCTTGGATTCGGTTTGCAAGTATTTTATTGAGTATTTTTGCGTCAATGTTCATAAGAGAGATAGGTCTGAAGGTCTCTTTTTTTGTTGGTTCTTTGTGTGGTTTAGGTATCAGGGTGACTGTGGCTTCATAGAATGAGTTTGGTAATGTACCTTCTGTTTCTATTTTGTGGAATAGTTTGAAGAGAATTGGTGTTAGCACTTCTTTGATGGTCTGGTAAAATTCTGTGCTGAAACCATCTGGTCCAGGGCTTTTTTTGGAGGGGAGACTGTTAATGACTGCTTCAATTTCCTTGGAGGATATAGGGCTATTCAGTCTTTCTACCTGATCTTGACTTAATGTTGGAAGATGGAATCTATCAAGAAAATTGTCCATTTCATTTAAGTTTTCAAATTTTGTGGCATATAGGCTTTTGTAGTATGACCTAATTGTTTGAATTTCCTCAGTGTCTGTAGTTATGTCATCTTTTCATTTCTGACTTTGCTGATTTGGATAGATTCTCTCTGCTTTTTAGTTAGTTTGGCTAAGGGTTTGTCTATCTTGTTGATTTTCTCAAAGAACCAGCTTTTTGTTTCATTGATTCTTTGAATAGTTTTATTTGTTTCTAATTGATTGATTTCAGCCCTGAGTTTGATTATTTCCAGCTGTCTGCTCCTCTTGGGTGTATCTACTTCTTTTTTTTCTAGGTTTTTCAGTTGGGCCATTAAGGTACTTGTATGTGATGTTACAAATTTCTTCTTGAAGACACTTAGTGCTATAAATTTTCCTCTGAGCACTGCTTTTAATGTGTCCCATAAATTTGGGTATGTTGTGCCTTCATTTTTATTGCATTCTAGGAAGCCTTTAATTTCTTTCTTTATTTATTCCTTAACCCAGCTGTCATTGAGTAACAAGTTGTTCAGTTTCCATGTGCGTGTAGGCTTTTTGTTATTTCTGTTGTTGTTGAGGTCCAGCTTTAGTCCATGGTGGTCAGATAGAATACAAGGAATTATTTCAATCTTTTTGTATCTCTTGAGGCTTGCTTTATGACCAACTATATGGTCCATTTTGGAGAACATTCCATGTGGTGCTGAAAAAAGGGTATACTCTTTTGAGTTTGGATGAAAAGATCTGTAGATATCTATTAGGTCCATTTGATTTAGGGACTTTGTAAGTGTTTTTATTTCCCTATTTGTTTTCTGTCTAGTTGATCTGTCCCTTGGAGAGAGTGGAGTGTTGAAGTCTCCCACTATTAAGGTATTAGGATCAATGTGTGATTTAAGCTTTAATATTGTTTCATTTATGAATGTAGGCGCTCTTGTATTTGGGGCATAGATATTCAAAATTGTGATGTCCTCTTGGTGGATTTTTCTTTTGATGAGAATATAGTGGCCCTCCTTATCTTTTTTGATTAACTTGGGTTGAAAGTCTATTTTATTAGATATTAGGATGGCTACTCCAGCTTGTTTTCTGGAACCATTTGCTTGAAAAACATTTTTCCAGCCCTTTACTTTGAGGTAGTGTTTCATATGTGTGTTTCTTGGATGCAACAGAATGTTGGATCCTGTTTCCGCAACCATTCTGTTAGTCAGTGTCTTATTATTGGGGAGTTGAGTCCGTTGATGTTAATAGATACTAGTGACCAACAATTTTTACTTACTTTTGATGTGGGGTTGGTGGTGTCACTGAGTTTCATTGCTTGTATTCTTTTGGTTTTTTTGTTGTGTAGTTATCTATTTCCTCTGTTTCTTTCGATGTAGTTGTTTTCTTTGGTTTGGAGTTTCCTTTCTAGGAACTTCTGTAGAGCTGGGTTACTATGTAAATGTTGTTTAAATTTGGTTTTGTCGTGGAATATTTTGAATTCTCCGTCTATGTTGATTGAAAGTTTTACTGGGTATAGTATAGTATTCTGGGTTGGAATCTGTGGTCCCTTAAGGACTGTATGATTTCTGTCCAGCCCCTTCTGGTTTTCACAGTTTCTGTTGAGAAATCTGGTGTCATTCTGATAGGTCTACCTTCATCAATATCTTTTCTTTGTTCTGTAGATTTTGTGTTTTCACTATGATGTGACATGAGGACTTTCTTTTCTGGTCTAGTCTATTTGTAGGCCTCTTGTATATTTATGGACATCTCTTTCTTTAAGTTGGGAAAATTTTCTTCTATGATTTTCTTGAAAATATTTTCTGGACCTTAGAGCCTGGAATCTTCTTTTTCATCAATTCCTATTATTCTTAGATTTTGCCTTTTCATGGCATCCTTGCTTTCTTGATTGTGTTTGGGAGTTTTCCAATTTTACTTTTTCTTTGAGAGACGTATCAATTTCTGCAAGTGTATCTTCAGCACCAGAGATTCCCTCTTCTATCTCTTGTATTCTGTTGGTGATGTTTACCTTTGTGGTTCCTGATCTTTTCTTTCTACATTCTTCAGCTCCAGGGGTTTCTCAGTTTGTGTTTTCTTTATTGATTCTAATTCTGATTTTACTCATTGCACCATTTCCTTCATCTCTTTGAATATGGCTTCCTGTCTCTGTATGACGGCCTCTATTTTTTTGTTTGTTTCTTGTCTATATGCCACTAATTGTATCCCTACTTGCGCCTCTATTTGATTGGCTATATTTGCCTGTGCTTCTTTGAGAGCTTTGTTTATTTCCTCCTTATTTGCCTCCACCTGTGGCAAATTCTTTGAGAGATTTGTTCATTTCCTCTTTTACTGTTTCTATTTGTATGGCTATTTCTCTGAGAGATTTGTTTGTGTCCTCTTTATGTGCCTCTAATAACTGGATAAGCATAGCTTTAAAATCATTTTCCTGTGTTTCCAATGAATTGGAGTATCCATTGATTTTGGGGGTTGCTGGTGAAGCCATGATGTCCTGATTTTTGTTGGATGTATTCTCTCACTGACCTCTGGCCATTTGATTCTCTATAACCTTCACTGTTTGTTCCTGGATTCTGCAGTTCAGACTGGTACCATCTTTCTCTTGAGTCTGGAGAATTCTTCAGGAAAATTAGAGAGGTCCAGTGGTTTCAGCATGTGCATTGGTGTTTCAGCTGTACCTATGGAGGACCTCAGGCACAGAAGGGCAAATTCGGGCAAGCGTGTGTGTTTGTGTGTGTGTGTGTGTGTGCGCGCGCACACACGTGTGCTTTGAAAGGCAGGGTGTTAGAGAATGTAGAAGTTTTGAGTGTGTGAGAGGGATGCTGCCTTGCAGGCACCAAAGGGGTTACATGTACTGAAGGTATAGCAGGCACTGTTGATAATAATGGGTGCAATTTCTTTATGCAAATTCCCTAGATACCTCAGTGGCCTACAGGCTACTGGTAGTCATCTCTGACTGAGCTCCAGACATTATTTGCCTGGACTCTACTGGTGGACCTGTAGAGCAGGGGCTTCAATGTCCCAAGAATCCCTCTGTTTCCCACAATGAATGTGTGGGTAGGAGGGATCTGAAGGACCCTGGATCTGGGGCTCTGCAGGCACTTGAGGGCACACTCAGTCTCTAGCAGGTCACATAGGCAAGCACTGGGGTACCCCTGCTCTCTTCTCTCAGGTTTAGACCTGCTGAGTCAAATGCTGGCTTTAGCTGCCCCTCCGCTCACCGATTTTGGAGTTTCAGATCCTCTGTCTCTCAGATACTGTGCATGCTGGTTGCTGCCATCTTGGTTCTCCCTCCATTTTTTATTTATCACTTATTTATTTATTCATTCATTTCTTTATTGTTTCCCACAACCTAAGTGTGTGATCAGATATGTTTTCAAATGTTGGAAACACTATCACGTGTTCATTACTGGCAATTTTCCTTTTCTTTTTATGCCAAAGTTAATGTCATGTTATAAACATATCGTAAATTCCTATTTTAATGTTAGTTTCACTTGTTTTGTAAAAATTATGAATTTCAGTACTTGTTGTTATAAGCCATTGTTAAGTCTTACAGATACAAACATTTCAACTTGCTAAAGTTTTTCTCTGGGATTTATTAACATTCATGAGTTTGCAATGTAAGCACTACACTTAATTATGATACACTTGACAATACAGTCATATACTAACAACTCAGATAAAAAGCCAAGCATAATTTATTTTCATTCACAACTTGACCTAGGATTGCTGTAGAGATTGTCTGTCACTGGGGTCAATAGCATTTCTTTTTTGCCTTTTGTCTATAGAATCACTGATTCATGGTGTTAATATGTTCTGTATAACTGAATTTTCATGTCAGATTTATCTGTCAACAAAGTGTTTAACTCTTAAGAATTCTAGTAATTTTTTTTCAAATGTCATAAATGTTTGTAGGGTAGAATTATTTTCATTGGCATATGTAGTTAGTGTTTGCTCATAAACTTTAACCTTAGAGCTATGCCTTTTTATTACAAATTATGTATTTTTACTATTTATTGTCTTGTCTGTAGCTCTAAAATCAAAAAACATCAATGATCTACTAAAGAATATAGTAAAACAACAGCTTAAAGTCTTCCAAGATGACATGCAGGAGACCATTGCCCAGCTCTTCAAGACTGTGTCAAGTCTGTCAGAGGACCTGGAAAGTACCAGGCAGGCAGTTCTGCAAGTGAACCAGTCCTTGGTTTCAGTAGCGGCCAAGCAAGTAACACCAGAGAAGCTGCCCGTGTGGAAGGACATCACAGAGCTAAAGAACAGCATCACGAATATCAGGCAGGAAATGACCTTGACCTGTGAGAAGCCCGTCAAGGAGCTGGAAGCAAAGCAAGCTCATTTGGAAGGAGCTCTAGGACAGCAGCACTCACAGCTTGTTCTGTACCAGCAGTCCCTCAATGAAACTCTCTCTAAAATGCAGGAAGCACACACCCAGCTGTTATCAGTTCAACAAGCATCAGGAACAGAGAACACTGTCACTGAGGAACTAGGCAGCAGAAATGTCACTAAGTATATATCTGTGCTACAGGAGACAGCAAGCAAACAAGGTCTGATGCTGCTGCAGATGCTCAGTGATTTACACATCCAAGAGAGCAAGATTAGCAATCTCACCACCCTTCTAGAGATGGAAAGAGAATCAGTCAGGGAAGAATGTGAAGAAATGCTATCTAAATGCAAGCATGACTTTAAATTTCAACTGAAGGACACAGAGGAGAATCTGTATATGCTAAATCAAACATTGTCTGAGGTTATCTTTCCCATGGACATCAAGGTGGATAAAATGAGCGAGCAGCTGAATGACTTGGTATATGACATGGAGATCCTCCAGCCTTTACTGGAGCAAAGGTCGTCCTTTCAACAGCAGGTTACGCAGGGGCCAAAAGAAGCCACAGTTACTCGCAGAGAGCTACAAAGCCTAATTGGCGCCATCAACCGCCTGAATGTTCTTACCAAAGAACTTACAAAAAGACACAACTTACTCAGAAATGAAGTGCATAGCCATGGTGAAGCCGTTGAAAGACGCATCAGTGACCACACCTTGGAAACAGAAGATGGCCTAAATAAGACAATGACTGTTATAAACAATGCCATCGATTTTGTTCAAGATAACTATGTATTGAAGGAGACTTTAAGTGCAATGATGTACAATCCCAAGGTTCTTGAGTGTAACCAAAATATGGACACCATTTTGACGTTTATTTCTGAGTTCCAACGCTTGAATGATTCTATTCAGACTTTGGTCAATGACAATCAGAAGTATAATCTTGTTTTGCAAATTGCTAAAGCCCTTACAGCTGTTCCTAAAGATGAACAACTAAGTCAGTTAAACTTTCAAAAGATTTATCAAATGTTCAATGAAACCACTTACCAGGTGAACAAATGTCAGCAAAACATGAGTTATTTACAAGAAAATATACTCTCAGTAACAAAAAGTGCCAAAGAGTTAGAAACTCGATTGCAAGGCATTGAATCTAAAGTGACCAGGACACTCATTCCTTACTATGTCTCATTTAAAAAGGGTGGTGTGGTATCAAGTGAGAGAGATACTGATCTTCAGCTGAAGGTATTAAATTCCAGATTTAAGGCACTAGAAGCAAAATCTATCTATCTTTCAGTGAGTTTCTCTTTGCTTAACAAAACTGTTCGTGAGCTTTCAATGACATGCCGTAATGCTTGTGTAAGCACATATGGACGAAATGCTCTCATACCAACGTGGACCAAAGGGCCCCTGCCAGACAGTGAGAGTTCTCAGAAAAGTCTTACAGAACTTGTGGAGTCTGTCATAGAAGTAAAAACACAAGCTGCACTTTCTAATTTAACTTGGAATGTTGATCGATTGTTGTCTGATCGTCTAGCAAATATTGCCAAACCTCAAAAGCAGGTAAAACTGCAGAAGAAACCCAACACACTTAAGAAAACGGGGAACATTACAACCATCCTGGTAGGCCGGACGCAAAGAAACGCAGACAGCATTACTCATCCTGGTAAGCTGGAACTGAAAAACAATTCTGAACCTCTTTCATGCTATAGGTTACATGCTATTGAGCAGATTCTGCTTTATAGGCAGGCTGGAGGAATGGAAGGCACAATTCGTGCTTGGGCAGATTAGGGTAATGCATGGTGACTGATGTGCTCTAATGCATCTGAACGAACACTAGTTAGGTGTCAATGCAGAGCTGAACTCTAGTAGACATCCTGTCTGCATGTTTCAACTCTTTCTTACCAGAACACTATAAAATAATCAAACTTTCATCTATAAAACATCTCTCTATATAGCTAGCTAAAGAAATGTATTATACAATGAGTTTCTTAAATAGACCAAACTTTAATTTGGGCTTCAATAGGTACAATGTGAAGTTCTCTCCTCTCTCTCTCTCTCTCTCTCTCTCTCTCTCTCTCTCTATATATATATATATATATATATATATATATATATATATATATA